GGGGGAGGCTGGCTGGGGCATCTGCACAGGGGGAGGCTGGCTGGGGCTCTCCTGCTCAGCAAGGCTGACCGTGCAGCTACTGGTCTTAACTCAGTTCCAGACATTGGTCAACACTTTGCTTCTCACACGTATCCCCCAAAGTAGGCAGAAAGCAACACCTCCCCTAATGTCTGGAGTGTTCCGGGCGCTCCTTCTCCCCTTGCAGCACACTGAGGAAACACCAGGTGCTGGCTCTGTTGCACTTCAGACTCCGATAGGAAGGAAGGTGACTCGGGATGCTTGTCTATGTATCAAAACTTTCTGAGCTGTTCACACATCTGTAATCCCAACACTTAGAAGGCTGAGGCAGGAGGATTGCTTCAAGTTTGGGACCTGCCTCAGCTATACACTGAGTTCCAGAGCAAACTAGGCCACAGAATGAGACCCTGTCACAAAGAAGGAAAACTTTTTTTTTTTTAAACAACAACAACAAAAACCCTCCACTATTCCTGCCCTCCCAGGGAAGGTGAGGGATGGGTACTGTGGATAAAGCTTGCTATCAGCGGCTCACTTCCCATCAACAGCTCTGAAGCTCTGGTGCAAGGTGCTACCTTGCAGCTAAAGCCTGACATTCTCAGTTCATGAGAAGGATCTGGATGGAACACAGTGGTCCTTGGCCCTCTTCCGCAGTGTCCCACTGGCCAGCAGACAGGTGCTGAGAGCGGACACAGGACAGAGCGAGCTCAGCACTGCAGACTTCTAGGGCTGTGCTAGGCCTGGGTTCTTTTGTAACTCTTGACTGGGGGCCTTCTGAGACGCAGCTGCCCTAGCTGCTTCTCCCTTGTGGACGCAAGAGACTCTACGAGCGGTGTCTGCGCGAATGGCATCGGATCCAGAGGTGTCCACCCCAGGGCCAGGCCCTGCCTGCTTTCCCTCATCTTGGTGAGAACTCCAGAGTTAAGGTTCTCACCTCACTCTCTCCTGTTCCACTCTAAGGCGGCCTTCTGGCTATAAGGAAAACTCAAGTTTGTGTTTATTTGCTTCTGCAGTGTTGAAGATTGAACCCAGGGACTCATAACTGGCAGGCAAGGGCTCTGCCCTTGAGCTATGTATGTCTATCCAGACTTCTAAGACAATTCTTAAGGAAAGAACAGAGTACATGATGTGGCTTGGAGATGTGCCAGGATAGCTAACTGACCAGTCATTCCCTCCAAAGCTTAGGTGAAACCACTCATTTCAATCAGCAATGTTATGATCAGGGGTCTTCAAAAGCATCAATATAATTCTCAGTCATTTCAGAGACAAATGAATTTAGAACAGACTCTATACTGGAAACACCGGTAAGCCAGGCGGGGAAGAGGGAAAGGACCACACCCAGGAAGCCACGTGCAGAAAGCGTCCCAGGCCTGAACAGCAGTCGCACAGGGGAATTACAGTGTGAAAGATTTACCTGTCTGTCATGTTGAGTTTAGAGATTACATCAGCCTGTAAAATAAAACACACAAACACACAGACACACACAAAAAGATTCCCTGGAGGAGAGCCAGGAAGATTAAAATGTCCATCAGCGCTTTCTTATCAACTAATAAGGACGTCATCTCCAATCCCCACTGAAAATAAGGAACCCCCAATGGCTGCTGTGAGCATGTGTGGGCAGCTAGCCCTGAGTGTGCCCACTCTGTTCCTCTTCCAGTCTGGCAGCTATGGTTCTCTGCTCTAAAGGTGACTCCCTTAGCCCTGAAGAAACAAGGTGAAGCCAAGCATCTAGGAAAGCTCCAGGACAGACTTGTCCCTGGCTGTGGAGTCAGCTGTGGAGGTAATAGAGTCTGCAAGAGTGGGCAGTGGATACTAGGAGGAAGAGCAGCTGTGTCCATGGCAACAGCAACCTATCGCTGTCCGCATGTTCTTAGCCCTGGGGTGGCTACGGTTTCTAAAGACAGCAGGAAATGGGTGGTGCACAGCAGCACGGAGGTGCACAGCATACACCATGGAGGTCTGAGTAACACCTTCCAGGGATTCATTCCAGTTGAAGTATGCTGATGTGAAGCCCACAGCCCAGAGCATTGGCTACTGCCTCAGAAAAGGGCTAACAGCGGCAGGAGCACCACAGGAGCTGAGCGACAGATTCATGGCCAGCTCTGGTTTAATGCACATCTTCATTCAAGACCGATTTCAGCCTGCTACAGTTTCCTGAGAACACACCTGCACTCACACGACTTTAAACTGTGGTACCACATGCTACTCTGCCTCAAGGCATTCCAACTGAAGAGACCAGCTTTTAAGTAAAGTCAAGTATCTAGGGTGATTCCAGTGCCCTCAATTCCAGATACCACAGTCACATGCATGAATGGGGACTTCTTTATAGGAGGGCATACACTCCCAGGCATCTCTGGCTTGAAGGGTCCTGTCCCACCCTGCACTACCCTCCAATCCAAGTCTTCAAGGTCATCAGGGATGCTTTCTTACCTGACCCAGAAAGTAAATTCCTCCACCTACTACAAAAGCTGAGATTGCCGTTCCAAAGACAGCGAAGAGGGTGATGGAGCCGATGTTCTGAAAGAAGTTCCCCTGGGGGGAGGGGGGGAACAAGAGGCCAACTGGTAAGGCGGGAGGATGCACCAGCCCTCCTTCAACTGCGTGCGGTCTCTCCAAGACTAGACTCTCACATAGAGCCAGGGCTGTTGTCTGCCCCGCACTGCTGGCTGGAACCTCTACCACTATCTACCTGCTTTCCTGTCTCACAGGTCCCTCACCCTGGCCCAAGGCAAGAGCTAACCAAGGTAAGAGACTCAACTGTCCCCAGCCCCTTTCTTTCTACTGTCTACTGCTCCCAGAATGACCTCTGCAAAAGCTCCACCTGATGGTGCTGTCCCTGCCTTGATTCCCACTTGCAGTAGAGATGTGAGAGAGCCCCACTCCCTAGCTGAACTTGGGAAGGCCTGTGCCTTCGTATGGCAGCATGTAGACTTGTTGCCTGGGCCCTAGCTACCAGCATGCATCCCCATCCTTCCTGTGCTTTATGCTAGCCCTCCTGCAGAGGGCTCTTCCTTGGTCTTGTCCCCAGCTAGCTCTTGGGAGGGACCTGGTTGTGCTCGCTCAATGGCGGCTGCACTCAGCCCTTGCTTATGGACAGCTGACACCGGCCTTCCCCACAAGGCTCAAGGTTCAGTAGGAACAATGGCATCTGTCATATGGGTGATGCTCAATACACAGGTTTGGAAAGAAACAACCATGGTCCATGTTTTGTCTCAGTCTAAAATCTACACTACCACAGTTTTCCACTCAATTAAAAGGTGCATTTGGAAAAGGCTACTACATTAAAAATCAGGACAATGGTCAGTGTTAGGTTCCAAGGAAGCCTGGGACAAAGGGCTGAGTGCCTTTTAACACATCAAAGCAGATGCTGGCTGCCAGGCTCTCAGAATCACAGGTAGTCCTGGTTCCTCCTGACACTTCTCACTCCAGCCTCTACCCTAAACCTCATCAGCCTCCAGCTTCCCTTCCCTGCCCTCAGTTTCTCTTTCCTGCATAACTTAGACATTTTGGTCACAGGTTCTCTGGCTCTACTCCTGGATCTCCTGGTCCACTTGCCCCTCTCTCTTGTCGATGTCTCACTCTTCCCCTCTCTCTCTCCTCTCATGGCTAGGTCTATTCTAGCCATATTCAGTCTGGACCCTTCTAGATGCCTCTGCCTGTTCTCCCCCTCATATCTACATTAAAAACTGTTTCTTTAACCATATTTAAGAATGATTATTCCTCATTTTCTTTCCGACAGAAAGTCCTTTATGCAGTATTAGCATATCAAACAGACAAGCAGAGGGCTCCGCTGGGGCACAGGGCTAAGTTGGTAGACGCTTGCCTGGCATGCATGAAGCCTTGGGTTCAAGTCCAGCACCACACACACAGGTGCTGGGACATATGCCTGCAGTCCTAGTACCTGGGAGGTGGTGGACCTGCCGGAGGATTACAAGTTTGAGATCATTCTTGGCCACACACAAAGTTCCAAGCCAGCCCGGACTATGTGAGACTCTATCTCAAAAGAACCCAAACCATGGGCTGGAGAGATGGCTCAGTGGTTAAGAGCACTGACTGCACTTCCAGAGGTCCTGAGTTCAAATCCCAGCAACCACATGGTGGCTCACAACCATCTGTAATGAGATCTGGTGCCCTCTTCTGGTGTGTCTGAAGACAGCTACAGTGTGTTCATATATAATAAATAAATAAATCTTTAAAAAAAAAAACCAAACCGTAAAAACAAGAAAATATTGGAGTCCAAGCAACACGGGACCCGGTCCTCAGCTCCACCCAGGAAGGAACTGAAGCTGCTCGGACTGTGCAGACTCCACTCAGGCAGCACTGCAGAGGCTCAACACCAAAAACTGCTCCTTGTTTCCAGGTCAAGTGTATCCTCTGGGGTGGAGCTAAGGGACAGACAACAGTTGAGGGGATGGGCTGGGGCTGGGTGTGAAGACTTTTGGGGTTTTTGTTTGTTTTTTGGTTTTATAGGCTTTTTATACCAGCACTCACGAAGCAGACACTCAGTGAGGTCCAGGCCAGCCCAGGACAAAAAATTTTTTTTTTTGTTAAAAAAAAAAAAAAAAAACCTCAAAACCCAAAAAACCAAAAAGCCACCTGCTCTGGAGCTGGCCAAACCGCCAGAGCCTTCAAAAGGCAGCGCAGAAGCTCCGACTCCTGTGCGGCTCAGCATGCCAGTGTCAGCCCTGCCCCAGGAAGCAGGAAGCAGGGCCTCCTGCTGTTAAGGGGGAGTAAACTCTTGAGGAGTGGCCACACCCCCAGTAGGCACTGCTCCAGGGAGCCTTACCTTGTGCAGTGAGTATCCTGACTCAAAGATGATAGGTGGGAGCAAGAGAAGGAAAAACATATTGGGGCGAAACATTTCTTCTTCCTGTCAAGTCAAAAGGGAGGACACTCAGGGCAGGAGTGCAGAACCCAGGACCTGTAAGTCAGTGGAGGGTGAGCTCAGGAAGCCGACGCTCAGGGCCTAGGCTGGCAGAGGCCATGCCACCTTGTGCATCTGACACACAGCACAGGACCAGCAGAGCTCAGAGGTGAAGGTTCTGGCTACTGCGGCTGGGGACCTTAGTTTGATTTCCAGAACCACAAAGTGAAGAAGAGCTGACACCTACATGTCATGTCGATGCTTCTGAGGGTGAGACTCCAGCTTCTGGAGAAAAAGCAGCAGCTGTTGTGAGGCAGGGTTGCAGCATTCCCTCCCCCTGCGCACGTGCGTGCGTGCGTGTGCGCGCACACACACACACACACACACACACACACATACACACACACACCCTACAGTCCACCAGGAGGTTTGGGCTGTGACCTAACTGGAAATAGGATTTCTGAATGTCCGGTTAAGGTCAGAGGTGAGGAGAGGACAGAAGAAGCAGATGACAAGGGCACACACCCACAGACAATGAATTTTGCTTTGTTTCACATTTTTCTTGGTACTGGGGATTGAACCCAGGGCCTTGTGCTTACTGAGCTAAGAGAACATTCTGTGAGTCAGAAAAGGACACAGAGATCCAGAGATGGTCCCATGAGAAGGTCTTATGTGCAATATGGATCCACTGCCCCACACAAGAAACTTGTGTTTTGTTTGTTTTGTTGTTGTTGTTTTTTGTCTTGCTCCTTCAAAATTGTGCTTTCTCATCGGGTATGGTGATGCATGCACACCTTTGATCTAAGCACTTGGTAGGCAGAGAAAGGAGGATCTCTGTGAGTTCAAGGCCAGCCTGATAATCAGCTAGCTCTAAGACAGCCAGGACTACAGAGACTCTAAGACAGCCAGGACTACAGAGACCCTGTCACACAACCAAACCAAACCAAACCAAACAAAACCCCCCAAATTTTGCTTTCTTAATTTTCTTTTAAAGATATGTTCCTGAGGCTGGAGCCATGTCTCAGTAGTTAAGAGTGCGTGCGCACACACACACACACACACACACACACACACACACACACAAACACACACACACACACAGAAGCACAAGTGCTGACTGTGATGAACCTACCTTCCAATTTGCCAGCTTCTTAAACTCTATAACTTTTATAACTGCTCCCATGAGAATACCTGGAAGGAAAAAGCAAACAGCAGAAACTTAGCCCAGGCTACATGGCTAGATTGCACAGTACTCTGGAGACAGGCCGGGGGCCCATCACAGCAGGCTGCCCTAGAGTTCTGCAGGCCTCTATCTGAGAACCGAGAACAGGAATTACCACGGTATGGTGTAAATCACGGCAAGTTTCCCACTTATATCTCAGGCGAACACACCTTGGCAAAATCTGAGTATGCAGGGAGAAGAAAACCTTACTTGGAGCTGCTCTGCCTGGTGTGGAGGATACCTTCCATGGCCGGTCACCCTTCCTGTACCACCCAGTTTTGATAAAAACCAACAGGAGCTGAGAAGCCAGATGGATGGATGAATCTTTTTTTTTGGGGGGGGGGGGTCCTCAAGACAGTTTCTCTGTGTAGCCCTGGCTACTCTGGAACTTGCTGGTCTCAAACTCAGAGATGCCCCTGCCTCTGCCTCCCAAGCACTAAGATTAAAGGTGTGCACCACCACTACCCAGCTCTTCTACTCATTCTTATTTCTACCACTTAAAACCATGGGTGGGGTGTGTGGGGTGTGTGTGTGTGTGTGTGTGTGTGTGTGTGTGTGTGTGTGTGTGTAGGGCATGAGGTAGCTTAGCTGGTAAAGGCACTTGATACCAAACCTGATAACCTGAATTCTAACCCATGACCCACATGCTAAAGAGACTCCAAATGTTCTTTGGGCCAGCCATGGTGGCTCATCCCTTTAATCCCAGCACTCAGGAGGCAGAGATAGGTAGATTTTTCTGAGTTCAAGGATAGCAAAGATTGACTGTTACACAAACCCTGTCTCAAAACCCCCCTGCCCAAAAAGTTGTCCTTTGACATCTATACATGCATAACTCAAGGGTACACATAGACAGTTGTTGCATGTGGTTAATAAAATACAGGTTGGGGTGAACAAAGGTCAGTTTGGAGACCCATATAAGCAGACTGTCTTCACACTACGTAGCTAAGAATAGCCTTGAACTCCTGACCTTCTCACCTCTGCTTTTATTTTTTTCCTTTTTCTCCAATGTTATCCAACTTTGTGTCCTCTCCTTTTATTTAAGAGAGAGAGAGAGAGAGAGAGAGAGAGAAATCCAGCAGCACTGGTGGTAGTACACATTTTTAATCCCAGCACTTGGGAGGCAGAGACAGGAGGATGTCTGAGTTTAAGGCCAGTCTGGTCTACAGAGTGAGTTCCAGAACAGCCAGGGCTGCACAGAGAAACCCTGTCTCGAAAAACCAAACCAAACCAAACCAAACCAAACCAAACCAAACCAAACCAAACCAAACCAAACCAAAAAAACAAAAACAAAACAAAAACCAAAACAAAAAAACAAAAAACAAAAAAACTGCAAGCCACAGTGGTGTATACTTTTAATCTCAGCACACAGGAGGTAGAGGCAGGTGTATCTGTGTGAGCTTTAGGGCCAGCCTGGCCTACATAATAAGTACCGGGACAGCCAGAGCTACATAGTGAGACCATGTCTAGAAAATACAAAACAAACAAGCAACCCAAACAAAACCAAGCCATTAAGTCCACGTCGCCCATATGTACTCTCGGATATGTGACCGTCTACCAGGAGCTATTATACCCCTTTAAAAAACCTGTCCCAGAAGCCATCAGCTATCTGGAAGAAGCAGAGACCAGCTGAGCACCTACAGGCTGAATGCACTCCAAGGTTCCTTCTGTGACTTGTCACAATGCAGGGCTTTGGTGACGTAGCTGTCTTTGAGTCATTTCTGCTCCTGTGAGTAATACCCCCAAATACAAAGATATCTAGAAATCTTGGAACAAAGAACCCTCTCAAGAGGAACAACTCAAACTGTTTGTATAGTAAGGGAAACAGCTAGGCTCTCATTCAAAGCACACGAAAGTGGAAGGGGAAATTTGTTAATGTGGATGCTGGCCCTGCTCTCAGAATACTTAGGCTCAACACAAAGAACAATGTACTCTAAGGAGTGCAGAGCACGTGAACCGAGCACTGGGAGTGGATCTAAGGAGAGGCCTGGCCTGCTTCCTTTCAGCTTTCTGTGCAGTTACTCTCAGCACAATCCAGACATTCTTGAAAGTAGCCACCTCAGTACTATGACACCATGCTCCAGGCAGAGAGGTCATTTAAAAATGTATTCTTTCATTTTATATGGGGAGGGAAGTGTGGTGGTTTGAATATGCTTGGCCCAGAGAGTGGCACTATTTGGAGGTGTGGCCTTGTTGAAGGAAATGTGCCATTGTGGGGGTGGGCTTTGAGAGCTTCCTCCTAGCTGCCTGAGGATGCCAGTCTTCTTCTGTCTGCCTTCAGATGAAGATGTAGAACTCTCAGCTCCTCCTGCACCATGCCTGCCTGGATGCTGCCATGCTCCCACCCTAATGATAATGGACTGAACCTCTGAATCTGTAAGCCAGCCCCCATTAAATGTTGTCTTTTATACGAGTTGCCTTGGTCATGGTGTCTGCTCACAGCAGGAAAACTGTAACTAAGACAAGAGGCTTCCATGTTAGTGTTAGAGCTCAGAAGACAACCCCATATGGAAGCAGGGGGATCAAACTCAGGCTGAAGGCTTGGCAGCAAGCATCTTTACCCACTGAACCATCTTGTCAGCCCTGGGCTTTAGGAAATGCAGATTGTTTTGTCTGTTCCATCATTTGAGTTCTGACCACTCCTCACATAAGAAACACTCTGGACTTCAGTACTCTCTCAGATGTGCCTTCTGCCTATGTGTACAGACACACCTTCTTTATCACCAGACAGTGACTTGGGCCACACTGGTGAAGAAATGGACCACTGGCTCTACCCCATCTTGAATCTGAGTGGCAGTGCAGGCAGCAGCCTACAGCCTGGTACCAGAGAGGACAGACAGCCTTCTCATGGCAACTGCAGCTGCAGGGCTGCTGACTAAGCAGCCTGCCTGAGAGAAGCCAGAAAGAAAGCAACAGGACCAGAAGTGATATGGTGACCAGGGCCTCGGGCCCAGAAGCCTCCATTACTTGTGGGGTTTTGGTTATGTGAGTCCACAGGGTTGCAATGTACTCCTTCTAGTTGGAGTCTGTTTAAAAGAAACCGTGGGCTTTTTTTTTCTCTTCCACCGCCAACTTGCGGGGAGGCGGAAGTTCGGGTGCATTCAAGATTCGGCGATACTCGTAATCCACCGATACTCGTAATCCACCGCCATGGCCGAGGAAGGCACAGCTGCTGGGGGTGTAATGGACATCAACACTGCTCTACAAGAGGTGCTGAAGACCGACCTCATCCACGATAGCCTAGCACGTGGCATACGCGAAGCTGCCAACGCCTTAGACAAGCGTCAAGCCCATCTCTGTGTGCTTGCATCTGACTGTGATGAGCCCATGTATGTCAAGCTGGTGGAGGCACTTTGTGCAGAGCACCCAATCAACCTGATAAAGGTTGACGACAAGAAACTAGGGGAATGGGTGGGCCTCTGTAAAATCGATCGAGAGGGGAAGCCACGGAAAGTGGTTGGTTGCAGTTGTGTAGTGGTTAAGGACTATGGCAAAGAATCTCAGGCCAAGGATGTCGTCAAGGAATACTTCAAATAAAAGAAATAAATACAATTTTGGCTCAAAAAAAAAAAAAAAAAAGAAACGAAACCGTGGCCTTCTAATGGAAGAAGTTTGGTATCGGTCTACATACTTTTAGCACAAGCTGGAGGACCTGGCACTTAAAGAGTCCCTAGGAACAGTCATTTAGTAGTCCTATAATAGGCAGCGCTGCAGCTTACTGTGGGCTGTCAGGTCAAGAAAACCACGATATAACCAGACTCTGGCCTTTCCATCTGCCCACTGGCCAAGCACAGATTCTGGCTTTTGTTTTTGAGCCATGTAAGTGAAAGATGGCTGCCCATGCTCTAGGCATCACATTCCCAACGGCAGCATCAGAAGGAGGGACGGCTAACTCCCCTTGGTTCCATCAAGAAGGAAAATGTTTTTGGAACCCTACAACCCCAGCATAGTTCCCATGAGTCCCACTGTCTCACCCCTCCCAATCAATCACAGCAAGTGCATCAAGATCATGCTAACCAAGACCAAACACTATCGAGTACCTCTTCCCCCTTGGGCCTCAGGGAATGATGCCTGATCAAAATGAGGATTCCATAGGCCAGTGGGAATATAGCTTAGTGGGAAGAGCGCTTGCCTGCCTAGCGCCTGGGAGGCCTTGGGTTCAGTCTCCAGCATTAAAAATCAAGTACAAGTTAGGGCTCTATTTCCAAGAGAAAAGGAAGAAAGGGCTTTAGCTAGGCAGCTCATGTCTGCTGAGAGCCTGAGGGCCAGTACTGAAGGCCAGTGGTGTCAGGGAGCCACACTAACCCACATGTCACTGTCTACCTGTCTGCCTGCCTATCCATCCATCCATCCATCCATCCATCCATCCATCCATCCATCCATCCATCTATCTACCTACCTACCTACACATCTATATCCACAAGTAGGTGTTGGACCCTCTGAAGTCACAAGCAGTTCTGAGACCTGATATGGATTTGGGGACTAAAACTGAGCCAT